ACCCATTTTTTGTCCTATCTATTAATTTACTCAAAATACTTAAATAAATAAATCAATTAAACTTAAGCTAATCTATTCTATATTACTCATGTTTTTAATTTCTGCATTAACAATTAAATACATTTTATTTATTTTGTGGCAGACAAAGTCACAATGAAGATTTAATAATAAAGAAATAGACTTATTATAAAATTCTTAAAAAGAAAACTTTAACTTCAAGTAATTTGGCATAATCTACTATTTTAAATGTGTGTTTTTAGCTATAAAAGTATTTAAATGCATATTAATAAATAAAACTTTTGTCAACAAATCAAAGACATGTGACCCAACCAACAAGCAGAAAAAAATATTACATTAAAAACAAAAAAAAACAACAACATAAATTACCCCTGATGAGACTTCCCAAAAACATACCTTTTACCTTGAAACACTTTTTTTTTTAAATATATAAACATTTTCTTGGAAATTATAGATTTAAGTGTGTGCACAATGTATTAGGAAATTATATTATTGCTTTTTAAAGTAATGTTTTACTTTAAAAAGCAATATTTAAGATATTTACTTTATCAGGAATTGACCAAACTGTTAAAAAACAACATTTTTGCGGCTTTTAATCTGTGATACATTTGAACAGTGCTTTATTACTATAACAAGCGTGAAAAATGCATGTGAAGTGGAAGAGTGGAAAGATCACCGAGCCGTGTCTGATAAACTGATCGCGTAGCTAGTTTGACAAGAAGTTAAAACACACTTTGCTCCAGTCTAGGTTGATACTGACCTTGTCTCATTTTTCCACAGTTTCCACATTTACTCTATGTCACTTTTCGAGACCTCTACAAGATATATAGCACTTAAGGACAAACTTGGCCATGAAACATGTGAATTCACGATAAAGAATAACAGTGTTCTTAATCAACTTCAATGCTTCATGTCAGCTAACATCTAAATGTTAAGACCAAATCTAAAATATAATCCAGACATACCCTACAGAGAAGAGTGTCCTCAACTGCCTAGGAGGCCAGTGGACATTTCATCTTTACAAATATGATAGCACCACATTGATCTTTTTAATACTCTATCTATCTATCTATCGTTTTTGAGGAATTTTTTACTAATACT